ATATTAATATTTGTTGAGTTATTAACGAAAAACTGAATACCATTTTTTCAGATCTTATTTTGTTAATAACAATTGCAATTTTTTACCTGTACCAGAATCCTTCAAAAACAATTTTCTAGAGGTGATACCGAATCGAATGAGCTACCGCTCATATTTTTAGGATCTTTATCTCTATTCTTCATTTTTTTGAACTTGTTGATTAGACTTTATGGATATAAATGGACTTTGTTTAAATACACTGTTTCTTATGAGCTTACGCAGATTATTGAATACGCTCGCGTTCGAACCTTTGTCTTTGCTTATAAGAGACGATGTATTTCAACAACGTCTGTCTCAAAGCATTATTTGTGGCACGTTGTCTTAGAAGGTGGTGAGTATATCATCATCAATAATTATGTAACAGTGTGCAGTGGAACACGTTTTTTGCAAACTGTTATTTGAACATTTCATTAATTCTGTATCATATCAGCTCAGAAATCTGAAATAATGGTTATGAAAGAACATCGATAGGTATTTGACAAATTCATATCGGTTCTACGCTGCATTTCGTTCTAAGAGTTACTACAACCGAATGGAAACGAATTTGAATGCATGGATAATCATTTAACATTCGATCGATATATTACACATATCCTTATTCTAGTTTGAAATGTTGGAGGATCGTCTGTCACTTCGAGGTAACTGAAATGAGGCGGGTCATTTTTATGTTGAAAACTGTCATTCGATCAATAAGAATTGACGTACTTTAGGATTTTCGTTGAAAATTAATCATGACACAATAACAATGATTCATTTGTTACTTTTAGACCGTGCATTGTATATACAATTTGATCCAAATTAAGTGCGCACCACTGGAACCTCTGTTCATCGTTGCTAATAGATATACAGCGCTATTCATGATGAGCGTTAATTAGCCGTTTCTGGCAAACTATTCAACGGATCAACCTGAAAATTCCACAGTATGCATAAGTCAATATGACCTACATGCCTAAAATTTGTCAACAAATTCGTATACTGTTTTCCTATAACCTATCTATTACCGTTTAGAAGATATAAATTAATTTCGACATTTTTTTACCAAACATGAACTTTTAAAAATTCTGATAATCTTGAACTCACTTTCACTAAAACGATCAAATTTGAAATGGAGTGGAGTGATACTATGAGGATCTTCACTCCGAGTGATATTTTAATTTGCCTCATACAGGGTCTTCAAAAAATGCAAATACTTTGATCTCATGAAAAAATGAGTGGAACTCAATTTTTTCAAATGGAACACCCTGTATATTTCAACATTTTTGAGCTCT